CCTGGTCCGGTATGAGTTCTGTTGCTGTCGGCGACGGTCTTCCAGTGACCTCAGCCCTCGCGCCAGCTGCCCAGGGTGCTGCCGACGGCTGCATCGGGCTTGATGAGGGTCTTCTGGTGGCCACGGTGAACGCCAACACTTGGGGCGCTCTCAAGAACTACCTATCTCCGGCCAACTCCCACGTGGTTATTGCTCAGGAACATCCGCTCATAGCTCCTGGTGCTCTGGACCAAGCCTCGAAGTCGTCTAAGTTCCCGGGATGGAAAACCCTGTGGGCTCCTGGTCTGCGTGGAGGGGGGGGGGGGGGGAGTTTCTTCGGGAGTCTGTGTTTGCGTTCGAGATGGTCTTGGGCTTTTTGAAGCTGCTGGGCATTCTGTTCTCGTTCCTGGCCGAGCGGTTGACACCGTGGTACGCGTTCCAGGGTGCGCTCCTTTTTGTGTTTGCAGCCTCTACCTCGTCCACAGTGAAGGTCTCTCGGAGTCGAATCGAGAAACTTTAAGGGTTGTGGGGGAGTTTTTAGACTCTATGGGGTGCGAGTTCATTGTGGGGGCGGATTGGAACATGGGTCCCGAAGTTCTTGAAGCTTCTGATTTTGGCAAAAAGCTTGGGGCTTGTACTATCGTGCCTGAAGGACACGCCCACTTTCCCAGCAGGGGCCCACCCGACCGTTTTGATTATTTTGTCGTGTCTGAGGCTCTCAGCCTCTGCCTGAAGAGTGTTTTTGTCGAGGGAGACTCCAGCATCTCTCCACATCGCCCTGTGTCGCTCCGTTTTCACAGCTCCCTGGGCGATCTTAAGGCTCTTGCCTTCCGCCAACCCCCTTCGCTGCCTGTGCTTCCTCCTGTTGGCCCCGCGCCCAAGTCGGGTGGCTGGAGCGCTGCTCTGGACCTGGCCGAAGAAGCTTTCAGGGCGGTGGAGGCGGGAGAAGGGGGAAAAGCGCGCAGGCTTTTGGGCATAGGATACAAGTTTTGGGCTGACGCTGCCGAGAAAGATCTTGCCAACTCCCTGGGGGCCGAGCTTGAGGTTTTCGGGTCTAGGGGGAAGCGGCCTCAGGTCTACTGGACATCGGTTCTCCGTCCTGCGGGGCGCGAAAAAGATCATGGGTTACGTTCTATTTCTTGGCTATGTAATCAACTGCGTGCAGTTAGGTGCTATTTCTCCGAATCGGTCTTGCAGGGGGCTGGGCGACAGGTGCTCGACTCGATCCTCCAGCCTCCGTCGGCCGTGGCGGTGCAGGAGAGCTCTGAGTTCTACCCTTTCTTCAAGGCCAGTGCGGCCTTAGCTTGATGCGCCTTATCTCCTGTTCTGGATCCTGAGCTCGGCTCTGATTTGGACGACCTGATCGATCAGGTTGCTCTCGCTGTCTCATCTGCTAAGGCCACCTCTGCGACTGCGTCGCGGAGAGAGTGGCATGAGTGGGTGCGGACTGGCATTGATGCTGGCGGTCGCAACGCTCAGAAGGCCATCGAAGACCCTGAACCCTGGAAGCCCTCTACCACCTTAGCCAGATGTGGAACTGTCGTTTGCGACCCAGTGTCTTTGCTTCAGGCTGAGGGTGATAAGTTTGCCGCCATCTGGGGCTCTGGCAAGGGCGAAGGTGTGGGCCATGACCTTCTGCCCCATGGTCGCATTTTAGAGCCTGCCGAGCTGCGCGGGATTTCAAAGAAATATCGGACCTCTTCGGCTGTTAGCGTTGACGGTTTCCACTGTCGTCATTTCAGCCTTCTCCCCAACGAGGCTTTGCGTGCCCTGGCCCTTTGGTTTGCCGTGTGGGAAGCCACTGGCGATTTGCCCAGGCAGCTCTCTTGGGTTCTCATGGCCTTGCTGGCCAAGCCGACGGGTGGGTTTAGGCCCATTGGGGTTTTCCCGAGCCTTTACCGCCTATGGGGTCGCGCCCGTCGTCATGAGGCTCTGCAATGGGAGCTCGCCCATCCCAGACGGTACTGGGCTGCGGGAGCCAACGGGGGGGCGGGTGACGTTGTTTGGAGGCAGGCTTTCAGGGCCGAAGCGGGTTCGCGTAAGAAAGAGGTTTCGGCCTCCATCTTCTGGGACCTCAGAAAGTATTATGAGCACATCGATTTGAATTATCTTTGGCAGCAGTGCGTGCAGCAGTCTTTTCCGTTGCCGCTGGCGAGACTGGCCATCAGGGCGTATTCGAGTGCTCGCTTCCTGGCCCTGGGAGGCATCGTTCAGGGACCGTTTTTCGTCTCCAAGGGTTTGGTGGCTGGTTGCTCTTTTGCGACCAGCCTCATCCGCGTTTTTGCCATGAAGGCCTTTGATGAGGCCCTTGTTGCGATCCCCAGGGGCCCAGGAGGAACGACTGAATTTGACGCCTACGTCGATGACTTTAGTCTCAGCTGCACTGGTCCTGCTAAGGTTGTTGTTGCCAGCCTCACTGCTGGAGCCAAGGCGCTTCGTCGAGCCATCACGGCGACGCTCGAGTGCAAGCTGGCCATGGACAAAGTGGGTATGGTCAGTAACTCCCCTGATGTTTCCATAAAGCTTTCGGATGTCCTGGGGCCTCTTGTGGGGCCGGCCTGCTCTCGGGTGACCAATTTAGGTTCGGATTTCACTGCGGGCAGACCTGTCCGTTCTAAAGGCCGCGCGGCCAAGTTAAAAGCGAGAGCTGCGGCTGCGCTGAGGAATGCCAGGAAGCTTCAGGGCCTCCAGGAGGCCCTTGGTCGTAAATGTTTGAAGGTTTTTTTTTTTTTTTTTTTTTTTTTTTTTTTTTTTTTTTTTTTTTTTTTTTTTTTTTTTTTTTTTTTTTTTTTTTTTTTTTTTTTTTTTTTTGCGGCGGGCCCTTTGGCTGGAGCTGTGCATGGCTCGGATTTGTTTGGTGTTTCGGACAGGGAACTGCTTAGTCTTAGAAGGATGGCCATGCCGACGGTCGAACCCAGAGCCCAGGGGCGCCCCCTCAGCGTCTTGTGTCTTCTCTCGCATGACCCCACGTGGAGGGGCAGTTGTGCGCCTGTCATCCGCTGGGCCAAAGAGGTTTGGACCCTGCATACTCATGGTTTTCCGTGGACCTCAATTTGGGCGGAACGCAGGGATGGCTGGAGTGCCGTCTTTGCGTCTGATGACCACTCTTGGTCTAAAGTGGCTGGGCCCATCTCTGCTCTGCGCATGACCTTGTTCAGGCTGGGTTGGACCATGCCTAATTTTTGCACCTTCATTGATGATTTTGGCCGTGAAACCTCTTTGACCTTGTCGTCTCCCAAGCTCATCGAGCTCTATTGTAAGGAAGCCCATCTGCGGGGTCTTGAAAGAGATTCTGGGGACAAGTACGGTTGTGGTTTCAGGCTTTGCTGGGGTGTTGTCAAGCAGCTTTTGCCTTCCAGGAAGGTTCCTAGTATAACCGAAGGTTGGATCCGTGCTCAGGCCACTAGAGCCTGCTGGGCGGCAGGTGATGTGGCTGCAGCGGGGTACGATTTTTCCGACAAGTGTGCGTTGTGCGGCAAGGATCGCGACACTCTCTTCCGCAGGCTCTTCGTGTACCCGTGCGCGCAGTCTGTGAGGGATGAGGTGCTGGACAAAAGTATTCAGAATGAAGCGTTGGAGCGGGGTGCAGATCACGTTGACATGTGCCTGTATTTGTACGGGGCCTTCAAACATCCTGGAGATTATGCTCCACCGCCGCTCACCGACGGGGGCACCAGTCTGGAATGGTTCGTCGATGCGCTTCCTGACCCATCTGACTCTGCTGCTATTCCCTCTATTCCCTCCCTCCATGGGGCTCTGGGGGCACCTCTTTATGGGCGGCTCATGCCGTCGTCATGTAGTGCGTGAGCTCTCCAGGGCTGGCTGGGCTGTTGTCGTGGTTTCGAGTTCGGGCGAGCGCCTCGGGGTTTTGAAAGGTCCTTTGTGGGCTCCGTGGCCTCAGACCCCCCAGGGATCGGAGTTTGGGGCCCTAGCCTGGACCGCTGTTCAAACCGAGGGCCCCGCTAAGTGCTATTCTGACTGTGCTAACGTTGTGTGTTTAATGAATCTTGGTGCTGCTGACGGTATTTGCGCCAAGCGACAGTATGCTGGCCAAATCATTCAGGCCAGGCATTACTTTGGCCCCAACCTTATTTCGATGACTAAGGTTGAGGCCCACAAAGATGTCGACGAGGAAGGGCTCTCTGCGCACGAGAGATTCGTGCGTAGAGGGAACTTCTACGCAGACGTCTATGCCAAGGAGGGTGCTAGGCAGCACCCTGAGATGTCTCCTACAGAGCAGGAAGCCCTCGACCATCAGATCAAGGTTTCGAGGGCGATCTTGCTGGCGGGAGCTGAGCTCTTGCCACTTTGGCCGAAGCTGGAGTTTCAAGGTCTGCCGCGTCTGTCACCGCCGCCTGGCCCAGGTGCTCCAGTTTTAGAGCTCGTCCACGACTGGTCCCAACAAGGTTCCTCCTGGCGGTGTCGAGTGTGTCTTCGGGGTTCCCGCTCGAAGTCCAAGCCGCTGGGAGGATCGTGCCCTGGGCATTCCCGTTTGGACCAGGGACTGTTGGAGAGACTAGGCCACCGAGTCATTGCCTTCCCTTGCAGTGACAGTGGCCACCTGTTCTTGTGCATGACGTGCAAGTTTTATTCTAGCGGTGAAAGGTCCTGGGTTTGTCCCGTAAGTGCGGGCCCCCGACGGAGACTGGTTTCAGAAATTTGAGACGGCTCCGTAAAGGACTGCGCCCTGATAAGAAGGGTGTCTCGGTCGATATCGACGAATTCATCCCGCTATTATAAATTACAGGTAATTTAGGTTGCCCTCAGTGCGCCTCTGGCTGACGGAGCAAGAACTCATCACCTTCAGGGGCATGAGTGTTGCATCCAAAAAAAAGGCCCCCGCGGACGTGAGCAGCGCCGGCCCGAGGCGAGGCAAGATTTGTCTCGGGGGTGGCGTGCGCGGCTCGGTGGCCCGCGCCGCGGCAGGTCCCCGGCGTCGGCGGCCTTGGGGAGGCGGCTGCGGTCGCGGGGGTGCTGGGGGCGGCCGCCCCCCGCGGAGCCGCGGCCGGTCTCCGGCGGAGGTCACGGGAAGAAGGTGGCCGTGGTGCAGAACGAGTTCGGCAGCGTCTCCGTGGACGACAAGCTGATGCTCGTGGAGAAGAGCGACACCGAGGACCCGAGGAGGAGGAGGAGGAGGAGGAGGAGGAGGAGGAGGAGGAGGAGGAGGAGGAGGAGGAGGAGGAGGAGGAGGCGGGGCGGCCGCCGAGGCTCGGAATTCGGCCGCGTCGCGGGCGGCCGCGTGCGGTCATGGCCGGCCGTCGTGCTCCTTTGTGCGCGGCGCCGCGGCGCCCGCCCGGGCTGTGCTTGCTGCCCGTCGGTCCCGATCGAATTTGGCGTCGTTGCCGATCGGTTAGGTTCGCGTTTCTGCCGTCGCCGTGGGCGGCCTTGGCCCCGATGGCATGGCCAGGCCCATCCATCCGTCGATTCGGCGAGGCTGGGCGTGCTCGGGGTGCCTCGTGCCAGGCATCACTGGCTCGTTGACCCCCCAAGCCGGAACAGGGCCAGTTGACTTTCCCGCCCGGCCCAGCTGCGCTCAGCATCGGTCCCTGGACACGGACCCCTTCTGGGCGGGGCCCATCCCGACCCGCTTTCGAGGCGGATCCAGCCGTGGCGACGAGACGTCTTCAGGAGACCCAATCAGATGACGAAGAACGCCAGGGAGGGCCCCCGTTGTCTCGGCTGACCTTCCTCGAACCCAAGGCAGTCGCGCTGCCTCAGGCGGTCTTGTCGTCAGCAGACAGTGCGCTCGCCAGGCGTGCTGGCCTTGAGCACCGATTGGGAAGCGCTGCTGCGCGAAATGCGTTTCTGTGTCGGCGCCCTGGCCAACGTCGCGTCGAAGCTCCGCTGAAGACCCTAAGCAGCTCTTCGGAGTTCTGGGGAGGGAACACAAAAGAGAACAGGTGAAGAAAATGAAGAGTTGCACAGAGAAGTCGCTAGAGAGAAGGAGGCCAGATGGAAAACCACAATGGATACCATCATGAAGCTCGCACACGAGACCACACGGGAGACAACAGGGGAGACCATGGGACGCACCGCAAGGGAGGCCCAAAATGGGCCACATACGGGAGACCGTACGAGAGGCCAGAAGGGAGACCACAAAAAGAAGATATTGTATCGGGGAAACGTAAGACTCGAGTAAGCCGGAACTCGGGCTTGCCGTTTTTTGTTTTGACGAGCGCGTTCTGGATTTTGACGGTCCCGTTTTCGTGGGATGTCTGCAGCGGGAGCCCGCGTCGAATTTCAGACTGGGTCTCGTCGTTTTTATGCTGGCCCCCGTCAGGCCAACCCGAGTCCCACGCACCCGAGTCTTACTCACCACCCACCAAACCACCCCAACCCAACCCGAAGGCCCAAATTTATCCTCGATTTCCAGTGGGGGGGGGTGTCGGGGAACATTGAAAAAACATGGAACCCGTGCCCCCCCCAAACCCGAAATTCGGGTCAAACTCGGGTCCTCGGGTTGGGTTGGGATGGTCTGGTAGGTAGTCACTTACGTCTCCCCGACCGTAATGCCGCCCATGCGCGAGACCGTCTGGGCGGGGGGGGGCTCGTGCGGGAGGCCCGTGCGGGAGGCCCGTGCGGGAGGCCCGCGCTGGGGCCCCCTGCGCAGGAGGCCCCGTGCCCTGGCGAGAGCGCACGGGGAGAGGCCCGCGCGGGGGAACATCCCCGCGGGGTGCGGTGCGGGGAGGGACCGCCACGGGGGGGAGAGAGGGGAACAACAAGTGACGTGAAAATCCTCCGCTTCGTTCCTTGTTTGGCATCTCTTATTGCGGCGATTCGATTGTAAACGTTCGAGTCCATGCCTCCGTGCACCATCGCTGACCTTACCAGCCTGGAACATATCCCTATCCCTATGCTGGGCACCTCCTCATCACGATGCCAATCTTAGGGATTCCCCTATTTTTTGAGGGCGAATCCCTAAGATTGTCATCGCCTTTTGGCGTGTCAATCTTAGGGATAGGGATATGTTCGAGGCTGGTGAGATAGGGGAACAATAAGTGACATGAACGTGAAAACTCGGAGGTCCGCGCGGATCTCTCGGATCGGCGCTGGGCCCCCCCTCCCTGGCGCGCCAGGGGCGGCGCCGGAGGCGCCGCCGGGGGGCCCCGGCGCGGATCCGAGAACCCCGCGCGGACCTCCGCGTTGTCATGTTTACGTCGTTCGTCGCTCCCCTTCTTTTTTCTTCCGCCCCCGAGCCTTGGCCGACCACGAGCCCTATTTTGTTTGTGTTCGTGTCGCTGTTTGTTCCCCCCCGGGGGAGGCCGGGCAAGGATGGGGCCGTGCGCGGGGGAGGCCACGGGCCGCCGAGGCCCGGGGAGGCAGGAGGGGGGGGCCCGCGCGCGGGGCCCTCGAGGGCAGTCGAGGGGGGGAGCCCTAATTACAGCCGGGGCCCCGAAGACGGAGCCCTTTTCGTTGGGGAGGGGCTCCGCGTTCCCTGAGTGTCTCACAGTCTGCCTCGGGCTCTCCCGAGGCTTTCCATTGGCAGTCGAAGCTCAACGTATGGGAGGAAGGGGCCTCGCTCCTCATTCAGGGCTCCTTGGGTCAAGGCCCCGACTGTGCAGGCGGGCTGCTTGGCATCGGGGGCGGACAGGGGCCCCACCCCGGCACGTCGACTCGTGGCCCGTCTCCCCGTCTTCGGCCCTCGGGGGGGCGCCGCGGGCCGCCCCTTTCCAGGCCCGTGCCCGCCAGGTCTGGGCCTCAGGGAGGTCGTGTTCGCCGAGCCACGTTCTTCGGAGGGGGGGTTCTGCCCATCCCCGATTGCAGGGAGCGGCGGCATCAACATGTTTTTTGGTTGTTGTTCTGTTTTGCTTTTCCGTCGGAGGCCCCGCCGATTGCTTTTAGAGTCGGGCATGCCCCTCTACAGGAGGAATATGCAAACATAGTAACACAAATAGTCGGGATACGATTTTTCTATCATGTTTCGATTATGTTTGAATCTGTTTTGGCTATTTTCGATTTTTCCTTCAAAATCTCCCTGTGGGTGGACACGCCCGACCGAAGACCAGTCGATGGGACCCTTACAGACAAGCTTTTTTTCTTTAGGGAACGGCGGCATGAGCATGGTCTTGTTTTTGGAGGCCCCGCCGATTCCTGGGGTCGTCGCTGGATCCCCCTGGGGGCGCCTCCGGAGGCGCCCCTCGTGCGCTCCGCGCGCTGGAGGGGGTGTCCATTGCCGATGCAAGAGATCCGCGCGGGCTGCGGGAAGTGTGCGCGTCTCTGCCGACCGCTGTGCTTCCGCGTTCGGCCAGCAAGCATCGGTCCGACCTCCCGCCAGACGGGCTGGCATGGGGTGTGGAGTCCTTGGCTTGGCCCAGGAAGGCGCTGGGCAGCAGAGAGGCGATGTTCGCACGGCCAGTGTCCGCGGGGTCGAAGGTGTCTTTTTTGACATCGTTGGCTGGGCTCGTGCTGGGCCCATCGCCAGTCCTGATCACTCAGATCCCAAGGTTGGTTCTGACCTGACTGCCTTTATACAGCCAAGACGCTGAACTAAGGACTGCTTTGGGCTCGGGAGCTGCTCGCTGTTACTTAGGCTATTCCGTGGTTGCTCCTCCTAGCGCTCCTCCGCTTCGTTCCTTGTTTGGCATCTCTTCTTGCGGCGATTCGACTGTAAACGTTTGAGTCCATGCCTCCGTGCACCATCGCTGACCTTACCAGCCTGGAACATATCCCTATCCCTATGCTGGGCACCTCCTCATCACGATGCCAATCTGAAGGATCCCCTTATTTTTTGAGGGCGAATCCCTAAGATTGTCATCGCCTTTTGGCGTGTCAATCTTAGGGATAGGGATACGTTCGAGGCTGGTAACCATCGCTGACCTCGTTCTTCATTCGACGGGCGCGCTCCTGTCTGCGTCAAATCATCGAGGGCCTGAGGCCCCCCCCCTCGAAGTGCACCTCGAGCGCTCTGGGGGCCTCCTGCCAGCTCGGCAAGCGCCGCGAGACATCATAATGATCCGCCCCGTAAAATCAGGAGGGAAAGAAACACACAGACACAATTAATCGGCGATTCCCCAGACAATATGGGACAATCTGGGAAGTGGGGGAGAAGACAAAAACCCAGGGGAGCCTTTTTATTTGTGTGTATTTATTTGTGTGTCCCAGGGCCCCTTCATAAAAGGCCACCAGGACACTGCCAGAAGCTCTGCGTCGTTTCTTGGCGTTGCGCACAGAGGGGGTATGGGGGGTGGGGGGAAGGTCTCTCGAAAGGAGGCTGCTTCTCAGAGGGCGCGGGCCTTGCATCCCTAGGCAAAGGCCGGCGCCTTCTAAGAAGCAGCCTCCTTCGCGCGCCGCCGAGTTCCTTTTTCACGATGCGGCGGTGACCCCAGCGCGAGCATTCAAGGTTGAACGGCGCCAGTGACCTGGAGTCCTGGAACTTGCCGATGCCAAACAATCAGTACTATCTTTGAGCCGCAGTGCTCAAGGTTGAACGATTCACGCGGTGTCAGAAGAAGCGCAGAAGACGCCACAACACGAAGGTGGAGAAGGAGGAGGCTTTGCTGGAGCAGAGCTTTCGGAGCTACAGGTCTGGGGCGCGAAGGTTTTGAAAGGTCTGGGGAGCGAAGGTTTTGAAAGGCCTTGCTGAGGGGGAACTTCCCTGAGCCTCAATGCCTGGCCTGACACTCGTTGATATTGAAATCTTGCTCCCTTCGTTGTGCCTGATCCCAGGAGCCCGCAAGGCCGATCTGAAAAAGGAAAAGGAGGAGGATCCAGACCGTGGCCATCCCTTTTCTCGGGCAGGGTTGGATGTTGCTCCCCGCGCGTGGAGCTGCCCCTGGTTGGCCCAAGGGCAGCTCTGCCGATGGGGGCAGCGTTGCTCACTCCCCTCGTGTTTCTCTTTCCCTCTCGTTCTCTGTCTCTGCCCTTGCCATCTCACCTGCCCTCGCGTCGTGTATGCCTTCGGGCCTCTGTCGTGCTCGACCGCCAGACTCCTGGTGTTTTGCGGCGCAGGGGCCAGACCCTGTCGCGTCGGGGAGCAGTGCCGACTCACACGAAACAGTGAGGAGGAGGAGGAGGAGGAGGAGGAGGAGGAGGAGGAGGAGGAGGAGGAGGAGGAGGAGGGAGGAGGAGGAGGAGGAGGAGGAGGAGGAGGAGGAGGAGGAGGAGGAGGAGGAGGAGGAGGAGGAGGAGGGGGGAGGAGGAGGAGGAGGAGGAGGAGGAGGAGGAGGAGGAGGAGGAGGAGGAAGACGAATACTAAGAAACTTAATAATACTTAGAAACGTAATAATAAGCATACTCATCCTACTTTGAATACTAATACTACTAATAAGAACAAGACTAATACTAATAAGCAAACGAAGCATCACAATACTAAGACAACTAGTAAGACTGCTAAGACTAAGAATACTAATAAGAATAAGGGTCATACGAATACTGATGATATGAATATTAATATGAATACGACGAGTGATAATAAGACGACACATAATAATACGAATACTAATACGAGTAATACTACTACTAATAATAAGAAGAAGAACAACACGAATAATATTAATACTAATAATAAGACAAATAAGAATCACACGGTTATTACTATTAATAAGAATAACACTATTACTGCGAATACTACTAATACTGCCAATAACAAGAATAATAATACTTCAAATGCTACATCGAATAAGAAGTATGATACGAATACTAATAACAATAAGAAGAACAATACTAATAATAATAATACCAATGCTAAGAAGAATACTACGAATACGAATAATACTAATAATAATAGTACTAATACTAACAACACTAATACTACTAATAATAGTATGAATAATAATACTAATAATAGTAGTAATACTACTAATGATAACACTAAGAATACACATACTAATATCAATAAGAAGAATAATACTACTAATAATAAGAATAATAATAATACGGAGGATAATAGGAATACTACTAATAAGAAGAAACATAATAATACTGATAATAATACTACTAATAATAATAGGAAGAAGAATAACCATAATAAGAATAAGAATACTAATAATAATACTAATAATAATAAGAAGAATAAGAATAATAATAAGAAGAAGAATAATAATAAGACTAAGAATAAGAAGAATAATAAGAAAAAGAAGAAGGAGGAGGAGGAGGAGGAGGAGGAGGCGGCCCCCCCGCACCCGCAGCTGGTGGTCATGCCGAACGGCTGTCTCTGCTGCCGCGTGCGCGGCGGCCTCGGGCCTGCCTCGGCCGGCCGCCTCCCGGGGGGGGGGGGGGGCTTTGCGGAGGAGGGCCGCGCCCTCGAGGGAGAGGCAGGCACGCGCAGGCTGGGTAGTCGAAGGCCAGACTGTCAGATTGGATTGGGCCCCAGGGGCCAATCTGGCCCGGCCACACTGGATGATTTGGGTTCTTCGCCAGACTGGATTCGCGTTGGCTCCCTCGCCAGATTGCCCCAGTTTGCCAGATTGGGCCTGCCAGATTGGCGCCAGATTGGCTTCGACTACCCAGGCAGGTAGATCGAGGCACATCCGGCCAGACGCGTGCAGGTGTAGGGAGGCAGAAGATAGCATGAGCAGAACAACTCGGAGGTCCGCGCGGGTTTCTGGGATCGGCGCTGGGCCCCCCTCCCTGGCGCGCGGAGCGCGGCGGGGGCGGCGCCGGAGGCGCCGCCAGGTGGCCCCAGCTCCGATCCGAGGAATCCGCGCGGACCCCTGAGTTTTTATGGTTATGTCATTGTTTGTTCCCCTAAGTTTAATCGAGGTGCATCCAGGCAATTCTGGAGGAGCGCGTTTTTGACCACTCTGCGCCACGGCCGTCACCCGGGCTGCCCTCCCCCTTACCCCGCTGCGCTGGCGGGGTCTGGAGTGCTCCAGCGGAACACCCACAGTCAAGACGCTGAGACGGGGAACAGTTTGTGTTCGGAAGGGGCTCGATATTCCTTGGGTCCTTCCATAGCTGTTACTCCAGCCCTCCTCGTGCATGCAGGCGCTCTTAGAGCCAAGAAGGGGCCCGGTTCCTTCTTCATTGGCAGTGCGACTCTGTGCTGGACGATTCCCAGACCTCGCGAAAGCAGAACGTTGCGTTAAACCCCTCCTGTGACGCCCGTTACGCCGGGAGGATCGGAGGTTGAGGGGTGAGATCGCAGTGAAACGGAGACCCCCACCGGGAAATCGGTTTCGTGTTCGTGTCGTGCGTGCGGGCGAGGCGAAGCTGCGCGTGATCCTCCTGTAGCTAGGCCGAATTAGGAGCGAAAGTCCGTTTCCCGTCCGCCGGTGGCCGGGAGGTGTCCCAGTTGGGCCGGGCGGGTGTCCCGGGTGATCAGTAGGAGCGAAACCGCCGGTGGCCGGGAGGTTTCCCAGTTGGGCCGGGCGGTGTCCCGGGTGTCCCGGGTGTCCCAGGCGTCCCGGCGCTAACGCATGTCGTTCATTCCATAATTCATTTTTTTCGGCGCCTGCGGCGGGCTTTCTTATCAAATCCAGCTTGTCTTATCCAATCCATCTTGTCCAATCCAATCCATCTTATCTATCCGACCCATCTTGTCCCATCTTATCTTATCCCACCCAATCCAATACACCCAATCCAATCCATCAATTCGTTTGTTTCTGAGCCTGCGGTGGGCCAATCCAATTCATGTTATCTTATCCAATCCATTTTATCCAATCCAACCCATCTTATCTTATCCAATCCATCTTATCCCATCCAATCCAATCCACCCAACCCAATCCATCAATTCATCATTGTCGGCGCCTGCGGCGGGCTTTCTGATCCAATCCAGCTTATCTTATCCAATCCATCTTGTCCAATCCAATACATCTTGTCTTATCCAACCCATCTTGCCCCATCTTATCTGGTCCCACCCAATCCAACCCATCCAACCCACTCCATCAATTCATTTGTTTCTGCGCCTCATTGTGGTGGAGGGAGACTCTGATAGAAAGGGAAAGAGAGAGAGAGAGAGAGAGAGGACGAGAGAGTGAGAGAGATAGACAGAGAGAGAGAGAGAAAGACAGAGAGAGAGAGAGAGAGAGAGAAAGAGAGAGATGAGATCAAGGTGACAGGCTGGAGGTCAGCCAGGGTGGGCATTTGATCTCAATCCCTCCCAACCTCCTTATCGCCCGCAGGGCGGTCGTAGGGGTACAGACGGCTTCTAGATGGAGTCGGATGCACTGCATCGGCGATGCGTTGCGATTTGGAGCCCATTCTTCTCCATCCCGCCGTCGCCAATGCATCGGCGATGTGCTGCGATCCTCCGACCGCTATTTGGTAGTGCCACTGAGGGTAGGCTTACCCCTGTGGATGCCGGGTGGGGATCGCAGGCTCTCCCTTCAGAAGTCCGTGCCGGTGAAGGTCGGGAAGCCCCACATTCTGATTGGCCTGGTGCACGTACTATCCTTCGCATGTGGATTTGCCGTTTGGAATGCACATTCTGCATTCCTTGTGACAGCCACGTCTCCCCCTTGGAGAGGAGGATGGGCACGACGGCAACAAGGAGGATGGAGGAGGAAGATGAGGAGGAGGAGAATGATGACGAGGAGGAGGAGGAGGAGGAGGAGGAGGAGGAGGAGGAGGGAGTCGAAGAGGAGGAGGAGGAGGCGGCGGAGGAGCAGGAGGAAGAGGAGGATGAGGATGAGGATGAGGATGATGAGGATGATGATGCTGATGATGATGCTGATGATGATGCTGATGACGATGATGCTGCTGCTGATGATGCTTTGGATGATTATGATGATGCTGCTGATGATGCTGCTGCTGCTGCTGATGATGATGATGATAAGGATGATGATGCTGCTGATGATGATGACGATGATGATGCTGATGCTGATGCTGATGCTGATATTGAAGCTGCTGCTGCTGCTGCTGGTGATGATGATGATGATGAGGAGGAGGATGAGGTGGAGGCGGAGGAGGAGGAGGAGGAGGAGGAGGAGCAGGAGCACATACGCGCATATATAGTTATGTCTATACCTATATCCATACACATACGCACACACACATATATATATATATATATATATATATATATATATATATATTATGGACACAGGACAAGATCTCGGTGACCGAAAGAAAGGAGCGGCAGTGTGCCCTGGCCTGCGTGGCGCAACCTTACCAGCCTCGCCACCGGGCAAGGAGCTCCCTCCCCCCCCTCGCTGCGGGCGGGCGGCCGAGGCGGCGACCTGGTGGAGGCGCTGCGGCGGCTGGCGGCCAAGCACGCGGAGAGGGCCGGGGCGGGGGGGCCGGAATCGGAGCCGCTGGACGCGCTGGTGATCGAGTGCTCGGGCCTCTCGGAGGCGCCGCCGGGGTGGGGTGGGGGTCCTTCCCTCGGCGGCGAGTGAGGGTGGAGACGAGGAGGAGGAGGCCTTCTCGGAGGGCGGCGGGACTTCTCAGAAGGCCCTCGCGCCTCCCCAGAAGTTTTTGTCTGTCTTCGGGGAAGGCTCGGGAAGCTCCTCAGGAGGCGGGGGGCCTTCTGAACCTTCTGAGAAGGCCTTCTCCTTCTCACTTCCCCCCCTCGCTCGCCGCCGACTCGCCGGGCCAGGGGGCGCCTGTGCCAGGGCGGCGGGAGAGTTTTACCCCAAGAGCGGCGCGTGGGGGTACTTACAGCCTTGCCAGCCGCCCGGGGACAGGCTGTCCCCGACGGCGGAGCAGACTGTCTGATGCAGCTCTCCGTCCACCAAGTCCAGCGCCCCCCTGCCCTCCTCCTCCGCCTCCCTGCGGCTGCCTCTGCTGCTGATGCTCCTCCTGCACCCCCCCACCTCCTCGTTCTCGCCCACCCGACGACGACGATGACGACGGCGACGCTGCTGATGATGGTGGTGATGATGATGATGATGATGATGATGATGATGATGATGATGATGATGATGATGATGATGATGATGATGATGATGATGATGCTGATGGTGATGGTGGTGGTGATGATGATGGTGGTGATGGTGATGATGCTGCTGCTGCTGCTGATGATGATGATGATGATGATGCGGCTGATGATGATGATGATGATGCTGCTGATGATGATGATGCTGATGATGCTGATGATGCTGATGCTGATGATGCTGATGCTGATGATGATGGTAATGGTGCCGATGATGCTGCTGATGATGATGATGGTGATGGTGCTGATGATGCTGCTGATGATGATGCTGCTGATGATGATGCTCATGATGCTGCTGATGATGATGATGATGATGATGATGATGATGATGCTGATGATGATGATGATGATGATGATGATGATGATGATGATGATGATGATGATGATGATGATGCTGATACTGATAATGAGGAGGAGGATGATGACGCTGACGCCGTCGTCATCGTTTGCGTGATCGTCATCATCCCCCCGCCTCATCCTCAACCTTTTCCGCCCCATTTCCCCTCGCGTCCGTTTTGCTTCAAGCCTGCGGCCGCGGACTCCGCCGTCCCATCCGCCGTCGCAGGCGACGCCCCGCGACCTCCGCCGCCTCGCCGCCTCGCCTGCCCTCGTCGCCGCTCCCTCGGACGCCGGGCGGAGCGGTGGACGCAGGCTTGGCGCTGGCATGGGCAGCGACGTCGAGGAGGCAGAGGAGGGACGCGAGGCGGTGCTGGCGGACATCTTCGCGGCCCTGGACCAGAGGCGCAGGGGCTTCGTCAGCCGCACGGAGCTGGCGCACATCCTGGACGCGATGCAGGCCGATGCGGGCGCGAAGTTCTCGGTCCCGGAGGCCACGTTGGCCCGCGGCACCTCGAAGGACTCCCGCGTCACGCTGTCCGACCTGCGCAGGATCCTGTCCGAGCTGGCCTTAGCGGACCTGGAGGACGTCAAGTGGTTCGCCGAGAGTGTGGTGAAGGTCGAGGCCGAGCTGCGCGGGGTGTGGCGCGACGCCGTGCGGCAGTGGCGCGGACGCGTGGAGCGGCTGTACGCCCGGAACCTCCACAGGTACCTCCTGCCGTGGCAGCCGGAGCGCATCTCTCGCTGGCTGATGCTCCGCACGTCCGTGGGCGAGGCTGGCGAGGGCGGGGCCTCCTCGGGGCTGCCGGGCCTGGGCATCAGCCAGCAAGAGGTGGACTTGGCGTGGCCTCGGGCTGCGCACGCACAGCCCCCCCAGGGAGTCCCAGCTGGCCTCAGCAGGCCCCCCGAGTAGTTCGGGGCGGTCTCTGCGCCCTGGCGCCGCCTCGGGCTGCGCCCCCCTGGGCTCCGCGCCCCAAGGCTGGGGTACGGAGACCGCCCTCGGACTTCAGTGCGGGCGCGGCCGCCAGAAAGCCTCGCGAGGAACCCGGCCCCGAAACCCGCAGGCGCGAGACGCAAGCAGGCTGGGGATCCCAGAGCACCCTGAACAGCAGCAGCAGCTCCTTCAGCGGCCACGGGCAGCCACCGCGCAGCGCGCGGAGCGAAGCAACCCAGGGCACCCTGACGAAAAGCAGTCAGTCTCTTGATCCGCGCCCCCACTGTGCTCGGGGGGCCTGGCGAGGCCAGGCCAGCCTACCTGGGGGGGCTGTTCGTGCGCAGCCCGAAGCCTCACCGAGGTGGACGTCCTCTTCACCGAGGAGACCGCGGAGGACATCGGCCGCTGCATCGAAGAGGTCGAGCCCTTCCTGTCCGCGCTCGACCTGCGGGGCCAGCTCGCGGAGGCGGCGCTGGAGGGCGACTGCAGCCGGCGCTGCCCCCCGGAGGTGGACGCCAAGGTCACGGAGCTGCTCACGAGGCTGGCCGATCTCGCCGAGCGCTGCCGCGAGCTCGCCTGCCTGCTCATCCACGAGGATCGTCAGAGGAGGAACAGGTGGCCATGCTGCTACCGCCACGGTTCCATGGGCCTCGGAATTCCGGCCAGACCGCACCCCAGGAGAGGTCCTGGGCATAGCGGTGTCGGCACGTCAGTCGCACCGCCAGATCGAGCAAGAGAGGATGGCATGATACGCATGCCTTCGAAGGTCCTCGCGGATTTCTTGGATCGGCGCTGGGCGCCCCCCTGGCGCGCAGCCTAAAGCCATATGTGTGTGTATAAGTATACATATGTTGGCATATGTCTATTCACATACCCTTATATTTAGACCTGTGCACAGTTATACACATATGTGTCTGTATATGTGCACAGGTATATGCATATGTGCACGACTCTGTATGTGTATGTATGCTTTTCGTTTACAACATGTGTACGTTTATGCATGAGTGTGTGCCTATATATAGATGTCGGCATGTGGACATTTGCGTATTTGTAGATGTAGATGCGAGCGTGTATACGTATACGCATGTGTGTGTGCACCTGCATATTCTTATGCATAGGGGTATGCATATGAATACAAACATGTACAGGTATCTGTGTATACACATGTGTAGGCATATGTTTACATGCATGTGTGCATGTGCATGTGTGTACCAGTGTGTATGTGCACATGTATATGTATATGTCTTTACGTGTGTGTAGATTATATGTGCCCACGTGTACTTGTGCATTTGTATGTGTATATGTCGATGTATCTGTAAATCTACATGTGTCCACCACCAGGCCCCAGGAGGCTGAATTCCTCAAGCGCAGACGCAGTAGAAATACTGTTTTTCAAGATCTCGCCCCATCGCCTCCGAGGAGCCTCTAAGGCTTCAGGATGGTCCAACAACTGCCTTTCCGAGACGGCCGAAGATGGCTTCGAGACGGCCTTTGGGACCGCCCAGACGGCTTCAGATGGCTTCCCCGCTCCAGACAGCTTCAGATGGCCCGCGGACGGCCAAAAAACTGCCCCCAAGAGACCCCCGAGAAGCTTCAACAGGTTTCCAGGAGACGAACATCAGGCAACCACGACGGGAAACCCGAGGGTTTTCCCAGAATTCCCTTTCTCGCTTCAGAGGGACCGCTCAGGCTTCAGGACGGTCCAACGCTTGCCCAAAAGGAGCCCCATAGCGGCCCGAACTGGTCGAGTGGGGCCCCGAAGGCCCTTCAAGATGGCCCCGAGACGGCCTCCGTAGCCATTCTGGCTCAAGTCGTTTGGCTCAAGGCATTTCGAGCCAAGCCACCTTGGATCAGGGCCACAGTTTGGCTTAAGCCTTAAGCTTACTTGCTCGAGACAAGGTTCATTTTCTATATCCCGCGTTGCCTCTCCTCGCTTCTCCCTTCGCGCAACCATGGCCTTCGTGTCGAGAGCTCTTTCGCTCGCGGGCCTGTTGACTACCGTGAAATCCGTGGAGCACCAAGAGGTTACGCAAGCAGAAAGTGGAGACAATCCTACATGCGCGCAAATGGCTACAGCCGGCGAGTGGCAAAATCCGACGGAGTCCCAGTGCAGGCATTATGCCGAGGCGTAGGTTCAGGGGGGCTCGTGGGGAGGAACTGGTAACGACGTTAATATCCCATGCGGCTGCAGCACCTTCGACCCAGTCCAACCCTCAAACCCTTACTACTATAAGCCATGTGTAGAGGGAACACCCACGACAAGTAGTGAATTTCACCACATCTGCGTCAAGACCGTCACTTGCAATTCCATGACCTGCTCCGAGAGGTTCCTGTACTGGTGCCAGCAGACCACTGGTGGCTTCGGCTCCAACGACAACGCGGCGTCCGGGAGCTCTCCGAAGGACATCCTCGTTGAAGAGTGCCCCGAATGCAATGGCGCCGCCAACACGGACACTTGCCCAACGAATATGGTTCGCTTGTACGATGCCGCTCCCTAGGCGGAGCCGACCTCGGAGCTCGACAAGACGTCCGTTACGGTGTCAGTGCCGCTCGGATTTGTGTTCGCTCTCGCCGCTATGGGTGGGGTCATCGGCGTCTCCCGACGCCGCGCGTCCAACCAGCCAGTGCTCGTGGAGGACGAGCAAGATCTGCTGCGCGAGTGAATGAGCACGCCTGTAGCAGCAGCTCAGGCCTATCAGGACCAGAGGACAGAGCTCGCCGAGTCATGCATGCTTTTTTGAGATGCCTCCCCGCCTGACGTTCGCAATCGCTTTGCGCCAGTTCAGCGATCAAAGTTGCGTACCCCTCTCTCTCTCTCTCTCCCTCGCGCTCTCTCTTACGAAAAATCCCTACATCCTGCTTACCTCCCTCCTCCCGACGAGGGAAGCGGTGCTCTGGCGCCGCTCGGATCGCAGTAAGGAGACCGACCTTCTGCAGGCCCACGGGAACTTGGGGCTCCCCCTCACTTCAACTTGAGTTTGAAGTTTCGCAAGTCGCGATAAGCTTCGCTTCATTTTTTATGTCAGCCAACAAAAGATTCATAGTTTTCATGATCATTCATTCCAATCTGTTTCGCTGGACAGCGCAGCCTGCCCTGAACCAGCGTGGCGGCATGTAGCTTCGGCATGTGGAGCGGCGGCGGGTCCGCCGGCAGAAGCCCGGCCAACCAGTTTGATACGCTGCGTCTGTGCTCCCAGCCTACCCTCCTCCTCCTCCTCCTCCTCCTCCTCCTCCTCCTCCTCCTCCCGCATGAAGACCTGGTCAGCTCCCCGCCAGGCGTTTTTCGGGAATCGGGGAAGCATGCGAGACCTTCTGAGAGTTATTATCGGTTAAACTCTCACCAGTTTTGAAGACCTGGTCAGCTCCCCGCCAGGCGTTTTTCCGCAATCGGGGAAGCATGCGAGACCTTCTGGGATCGCCGCGATACCGCCAAAGAGGCCCCCCCCAACAAATTCTTTACGCTTCGCGTATCCCCACCAGCCCATCTCACAGCAGCAACTCTCGCGAAGCATGCCGACAGTAGTGTTTTTCAGGCGTGTGTCCGCTTGGCCCCGCATATCTCCCCTGTTCCTCCTTCCTCCCGCCTCCTTGTCTATCCTCCTTGTGGGGGGAGCGGGAGAAGGACGAGGCGGAGGAGAAGGGAGAGAAAGCGCTCCTCGTGATTTGAGTCGTTTGGGGTTTCTCGTCCTGGTGTGAGTCGTTCGGGCCCTTCTTCCTGGTGTGAGTCGTTCGGGCTCTTCGTGGTGTGAGTCGTTCGGGCTCTTCGTCCTGGTGTGAGTCGTTCGGGCTTCTCGTGGTGTGAGTTGTTCGGGCCCCTCATCCTGGTGTGAGTCGTTCGGGCCCCTCCTCCTGGTGTGACTCGTTCGGGCTCCTCGTGGTGTGAGTCGTTCGGGGCCCGCGTCGTGGTGTGAGTCGTTCGGGCTCCTCGTGGTGTGAGTCGTTCGGGCGCCTCGTCCTGGTGTGAGTCGTTCGGGCCCCTCCTTGTGGTGTGAGTCGTTCGGGCTCTTCGTGGTGTGAGTCGTTCGGGCCCCTCGTCCTGGTGTGAGTCGTTCGGGCTCCTCGTGGGGCCTCTTGGGGGCCTCTAGGAGCCTCTTGGGGCCTCTTGGGGGCCTCTTGGGAGCCTCTTGGGAGCCTCGTGGGGCCCTCTTGGGGCCTCTTGAGGCCTCTTGGGGGCCTCTTGGGGGCCTCTTGGGGGCCTCTTGGGGCAGCTTGGGGGCCTCTGGGGGGCCTCTTGGAGGCATCTTGGGAGCCTCCTGGGGGCCTCTTGGGGCCATCTTGGGGCCCCTTGCGACCTCCTCAGAAGCGCAAATGAGCGCTGCCCCCTGAGAAGGACAAAATGAGCCCAAAACCTTAGTAAAATCAATGGTTTTGCTATGAAGGAAGAGGAGCGCGGCCCCCTCAGAAGGCCAAAATGGGGCCAACACCGTAGTAGAATCAATGTTTTTTGCTTCAAAGACGAGCTGAGGGACCAAACTCCCCCCCCCCCCCTCGGGGCCAGAATCCTCGTGAGGGTCGTCGTTTTTTGGCCCTCCCAGGCGTCGAAAAGACCCCCCCGGCGACGCTCGGGAATCCCTCTCCAGGTCCAGGGGGAGGGGGTAGAGGGAGGGGTAAACCCCTCCCCGAAGGGGAAGATGGGGGGTTGAGGACAGAGCGGGCTCTCTAAACCACTCACGCCCAAAGGGCTGGTGGGATAAGCCTGGCGAAGGACCCAACCATATGCAGTTGTGGGTGCCGTCTTTGTGAGCAACGCATTCGGTGGGGCTCCCTATGGGGCCACGAAATGCTGTCCTGGGTGGGGAGACGCATGCGAATGCAGCCACTGGGGCCTTCGGTGGAGCTCTCTATGGGGCCACGAAACGCTGTAGTGGGTGGCGCGGGCGCATGCGAACCCTGCCACTGGGGCCTTCGGTGGAGCTCCCGATGGGGCCACGAAACGTGTAAGTGGTGTGCCGAAATGGGCGGGTGGCGGCATGTGGACCCTGCCATTGGGGCCTTCGGTGGAGCTCCCTATGAGGCCAAGAACCGTGTGAGGGGCGTGCCGATGTGTGGCGGGGTACGCAACACGGAAGAAGACGATTGGTCTAATAACGAGAGCTTGAGAGCGGGTGAGTATGAGCACGAGTGGGTCTGTTTGTACATGAGTCTGCGTGCGAGTGAGTCTACGCGTATGCATGTCGACGCCCATATCGGCACGCCCTTCGCGTGGATCGCCCCCGGTTCCTCCCCCTCTTTTTCTCCCTCTTTGCCCGCGCACTCCAATGTCCAAGGCTGCGGGCGCAGCGCAGCGCGGAGTCCTCGCGACGCGCGCTGGTCGCCCCGGAGGGGTCCCAGCAACGCACGCGGGTCGTCAGCTGCGCGGAGCGAAGCGATCTAGCTGGCTGGACGAGACGGAAAGCTGGCGGAGACGGCGACTGACGACGACAACGACGACGACGACGACGACGACGACGACGACGACGACGACGGCGGCGGCGGCGACGGCGACGACGACGACGATGACGACGACGACGACGACGACGACGACGACGACGACGACGACGACGACGACGACGACGACGACGGTGGCGGCGGCGGCGGCGACGAGGACAACGACGA